ACAACACACACAACACAACACAACACACACAACCACACAACCCACAACACCAACACAACCCACACACACACTCATCAATAGCAACACACCAAACCCCACACACATCACAACACCAACACACACAAACACACCCACACACCACAACACACACACACACACACACCACAACACACACACCCACACACAACACACACAACACACACACACACACAACACCACACACACACAAACAAACACACACACAACACACACAACACACAAAACACACACAACACCACAACCAGACACACACAACCACACAACACACAACACACACAACACACACAACACACAACACACACAACACACACAACACACACACACAACACACACAACACACACAACACACACAACCCACACAACACACACACACAACACACACAACACACAACACACACAACACACACACAACACACAACACACAACACACACAGAGAGGGAGCGGTTCGGTAGCAAATCATGGGATCCTTGTATGTATGTATGTCTGCGTAGTTCCTTCCCTGGGAGAGTGCTACTTTTTACCCGCTCGACCAAAATCACCCGTTCTGTCCCTCCTCTATCCCGCCTCTCCCCCCCCAAATAAGTGCGTCTTCGGCACTGCCGCAGTGCGTGCGGCACCGCAGTCTGTGGTGCCCGAACCACACGGAGGATGGGGTGGGGGGGGCGTTACGTTGACCCCCCCCTTTTCCCCCGATAACGCCCGTCATCGCCGCGAATTAAATATTCTCTCTAGAGTGCATTCGCGTGCGCTAGCTAGCCTCTGGTAATCAATGAGAACGCCGATTTCGCGTCGATAAGCGTCGATTCAGCGTCGATTGGCGTCGGCCAGCGTCGACTGGCATCAGGTAGCGCCGCTTCGCAAGAGCCAGCAAGACGGACGGCATGGGAGGCTTCAGTGAGTTGCCACAGAAAGGAGGGAGCGAGGGGGGGAATTGAGAAGGAGAAGGCCCTCTCAGCAGGCGGCGGGGCTTCTCAGGAGCCCTCCGGCCTTCTGAGAAGCCGTCGGTGCCTTCGGGGAAGGCTTGGACTGTCTCTCAGAGATGGGCGGGCGACGTCCGAGCCTTCCGAGCAGGCCCGCCCCGGCCGCCCCCGCGCACTTCCCCCCCCCCCCCCGCGCTGGCCGTCGAACCGCAAGGAGGGGAGGGGGCCAAGGCCTCCCTGGAGCCGGCGAGGTGCCGAGGGGCGGCGGGGCGCGGGCGGGCCCGTGCGCAGGCCCCGGCCGCGCGGACCGCGGACGCCCGGCGAGCCCGTGCGCGGCGCGGGAGATGGTGCCCCAGGAGCCGGAGGGCTCGGGCCGGGCGAAAGGGAGGAGGAGGAGGAGGAGGAGGAGGAGGAGGAGGAGGAGGAGGAGGAGGAGGAGGAGGGGGGATTGGGAAAGGGGGGGGTACGAAATTTGCTGCGTGCAGCTGGTTTCGGCCCCACCGAGGGGCCCATTTTCCGATACGTAGCCGCCTCCGGCGCCGGGAGGCGCCGGGAAAGTCAGCTGCGCGAGCTGATTCTCACCCCCCCCCTTTGCTATCCCCCCCGTTCGCCCGACCCGAGGGAAGGAGTCGGCGGGGAAGCGCAGGGCTCGAGCTCGCCGGAGCTCGGGCTCGGTGCTCTTGGGCGGGGCCGTCCTGGGCCTCGACAGTCCAGTTCTTCGCCGCGGGAGGTCTGCAGCGGGAGCTCGCGTCGAGTTTCAGACGGGGTCCCGACGTTTTCTGGGCGGCCCCGCGGGGCCAACCCGAGTCTCCCGAGCACAGGTCTTACGTCTCCCCGAAGGAGCGGGTACCGACACCGCTGACCTGGCTTCGTTTCTGCCTTTCTGGACTGGGGCCGCTCTGGGAGGCTTGCCCTCGTCGCCACGACCGGGTTCGCCCCGAAATGCTGGTCAGCACGCAGCTTGGGAGAGGTCCAGGGAGGAACGGTGCCGGTACCCTCTGGTTTCCCCAACCAGGGGCGACGTTACTAGGGGAACAAGTAATGCCATAAACATACCAACTCAGAGGTCCGCGCGGATTTCTCGGATCAGCGCTGGACCCCCCCCCCCCAGCGCGCGGAGCGCGCCAGGGGCGGCGCCGGAGGCTCCGCCGGGGGGCTCCAGCGCCGATCCGAGAAATCCGCGCGGACCTCCGAGTTTTTATGTTCGTGTCATTGTTGGCTCCCCTAGCCAGTTACTGTCAGAGGCGGGCGAGTCGAGACACCGGTACTCGGCCTTCGGGGGGTCCCCTCGTCGCCACGGCTGGACGCAGCTCGGAAGATTGATGCGGTCGGACCCCCAGAGGGGTCCGGGTGCAATTTTGAGCTGCCGCCCTCTCGACCTGCTCCGGGTCAGGGGGTGGACATCGGCCACGCGCACAAGGGGGAAGGGGGGAGGGGGGAGGGCTTCTTAGAAGCACCCCTGCTTCTTAGAAGGCGCGGGCCTTCTCTATAGATGTAAGGCCGGCGCCTTCTAAGAAGCAGCCTCCTTCTAAGAAGCTCT